CTCATTCACTACCAAAACAACAAATTGTGATGATTAACGATGCACTAAACTAAACTACAGCACAGTGGGAAAGAGGGGACATGAATGGAGTGAAAACGGAGCAACAGACAGCTGACAGCTGAGAAGGAAGTGTCATCACTGTGTCACCATCAATGACCGGTCATTGATGTCCACTGCTCCTGCTGTTGCTCGGTTTTTTACAGCAGGAAGTGGTTTTAAAACAGAAAAAAGTGAAAGCAAGATTGCAACACCTACCTAAATCAAAGGATACCATTTGGTGCGTTTTTAAGTTTTGGGCGCTTCTGAGGCAGTAGGTGGTTAAAAAATCAGTCCCACGATAACTTCAAAGATGATAATCAGGAAGCAGTGATCTGATGAGCTCGATGAACTGAAAGCTGAAAAGAATGTCGTTTTTCTGGTGTGGTGTACAAAGCACAGCTTCTCGATAAATTATACAACCACTGAAGATAGAAAGGGCTGTTGCGCTGATTTGAGCAGACGAATCTTTGCTCCGATTTGCTTGACAAAACAGACAGCAGCTTTGCGTTTCGCTTTGCTTTCTCTTTCACGAGAAAATAGCAGACAAAACTTATTTTGGGATGCAGCAGCAGCAACAGCAACAGACGAAAACAGGCGACAACAACAACAACAGCAGTGGTGGCAGGTTCCTAATCACACTGGTGTCACTCTGGCAAAAATAAAGTCATAAGCAAGATCGGCGTTTAAGATGAGCACACTGCGATGCATACTGAGCTGAGATGAAGATGATCTTTGAGTGAGTTGGCTTTGGTGAGCGAAAGTGGTGAAGATGAAGTTTGTTGAAACGGCGATGTCTGGTGTCTGGTGTTTGAGCAAGTGTGAGGGGGAATACTGGGGCGTGCTTGTTAGCGAGTGTTGATGATGATTAGGATGTCTCAGTCGGTTGGCATTTTAAATTGAATTAAAGAAGTTAAACAGAAGAAAAAGATTGCGTAGGAGGAGGAGGATGATGATGATGCCGTGCTATACCACCAATGTCTTCTGCGGCTGCCAGCGGCTCACTGACTGTCTGTCTGACTGGCAGTTGGTTCTCCTCAGCGCAGCACTGTGTTGTTGTCATCAGAGTGACTGCATGTGGCGTGTTGGGCGTGCATCAGCGGCAGCAGCTGTGAGCACGGCAGTTGATCTCATCATCTCATCTCTCACTCTCAATCAGCCACAATCATAACCGTCATCAGCATCAGCGACACCCAAAAGAAGAAGAAGAAAGGAGAAAAGGGGAAGAGGTTGTGAGACACTTGAGCAAGTAAACAACAACCCCGGTTGGTGGCGGTGGTGGTGGCGATGGTGGTGCCTCTGATGCAGCAGCCTTATCAGTAGTAGTTGACTTGAGGGAAGAAGGGAGAGAGAGAGAGAGAGTGATAGATGTAGTGTACGGCTGTCGGCCTGATTATTAGTCAGAAACGGGTAGACGAGACGAGACAAGAGACAGTAATCGTGTGCGCCGACACACACACACACACAAATACACGAGGGAGAAACTGAACCAACAAGATCTGCTGTGGTGATATACACAACTGCTCGGCTTCTTCTTTTCTGGTAGCCGTGTGTGTGCGCTCTGTACAATCGTCAAAAGCTCTGATGACCGCTGATATATTGGCGTCAACGGTGCAATACGTGATCACAGTAGGTGAAGCCGAAGAGTGCTGCTTCAAGTCAAAGTGGTTTAAAGTGTTGCCGTGTTGTTTCTTTCTTTCTAATGAAAAGCGAACTACTCAAGTCAGTGATGCAAGTCTTCAGCCTGGCGGCAACTGTGAACTGTTGCTCGCTCTTAGCTGACTGAGTTGGTGGTGGTGGTTCTAAATGAGGAAAGCGGCTGCAGTGAATGACTGCAAATGCAACAACAACAGCAGCAGCAATTAGCGGCAGTTCATTCAGCAATTGTCAGTCAGAACGGCGGACGACGACGACGGCAAAGAGCGGGGGGAGCAGCAATTAAAACTGTTACCTTCTAATCTGTCTGCTCTTTCTTCCTTCTTCGCTCTTCATCCGTTCTTTCCCCTTCTTCGCCTTCTCAGCAGACCAAGTCGTAAGACGTCGTCTGATCACAGCTGACTGACTTTTTCTCAGGTGCACCGATGGTGCTTGTTGGCGAACGTGAAGACTAAAAACTGAAGACGAAGAAGAAGTTTTTCCTTTACCAGCTACACTGAAGAAGAAGTGTGGTAATGTGAAGCTCAGCTGAAGCAGTGGTGAAGGTGGCGAGGTGAGGTGAATGTCTGACGTCAATGTGACGTTGAGTTGCGATTATACATTTTTCATGACGACAAGTGTTGCCCCTTCTTCGCTGAAATTCGCTATTCTGTACGAGTGCATTACGCAATGCAGAGTGAGGGAGAGAGACAGGGCATCACATTGCAGATTCTCAGAGGTGATTATTGCAAAGATCAAAGACGTGGCGATTAGCTGGTTCAAGGAAGGACTAGACGAGAGAAGGGGAGATTTTACTAGAAAAACACCGGGAAGATTTTTTAGAGAAGAAAACGGAATTAAAGCTGTGACGATAAAAAACAGAAGAAAAAGCTCCGGAAAGGGGCGAGGCAATGGCTGAGATGAGGTGAGGAGGCAGCCTAAAAGAGAAAATGAGAAAGAGGAGGGCAAGAAAAATACCCCGTATTAGTGAAAATGAAAAAAAGATGAAGGAAACTACAGATATAACTGATAGAAACAGCAACTGTTGCAGAAGGTGGTAATAATAGCATCACCGAAAGGAGGAGGGGAACAAATCATTAATTGCAGCAGCAGCGTCTGGGTACTTGCTGTCGTGCCACTTGTTGAGGAGGGGAGAGTTGTTGTTGTCCTGCTGTACAGCACAGAAGAGGCATCATTCGTACACAGGTGCAGCAGCAGCAGGCACATCGGTGACACCAACTGTACTCTCTTCTGTAGATCTGTGTTCTGCCGCCGCTCTTACGTCGATCTGACGGGGCAGTGGAGGAGTGCTCCAACTGAGTGTGTGCCTGAGCTCAACTGTCGCTGCTCAGTGTGTGCACAGTCTTTGCACAGCACTGTTTCCGCATCAAATGACAAACTGTGCGTGGCTTTCCCATGCCATCCCTTTCCTCAGCGATACGCACCTCAGGTTGAATGACGCCTCTTTGCGAAAAGAGAAAGAGAGAGAAAGTGGTGCCTCTTCCTGACGACCAGCCAGAGCTCAGTGGTGGTGGTTGCTGCTGTTGTTGATGTTGATGATAACTCTTTGGTGGTGTCGGTCGTGGTGGTGGTGGTGATGGTAGTGACTGATGAAGCACTTGCACTTGAAGCACTGGAGGTAACGCCGAAACACTGCGCAACCTTCAACATCCTCACCAGTGACTTTGAAGCACAACAAAACAATCAAAAGGGTGCTGATGGAGTACACTTTATGGTTGTTGATGTTGTGATGGCGATGGTGGCGATAATCAACATCACAGATGGACACAACCTGCGGTTCATCTGAAAGTACTGCTTAAAGTGTCCGGGATGGTGTTGGTTCAAAATTGGTAAGTGCTGATGCTGTCAGTCTTGGTGGTGACGGCAAAATCATCTCCAGTGCCTCTGCANCCTGCTGTTCATCTGAAAGTACTGCTTAAAGTGTCCGGGATTGTGTTGGTTCAAAATTGGTAAGTGCTGATGCTGTCAGTCTTGGTGGTGACGGCAAAATCATCTCCAGTGCCTCTGCCGCTGTTGCCGACTGATCATTCACCGGGTCAGCGACATCAGACAGTGAGACGCGTGAGTGCCTGTTTGCCGTCTGTCTGTCTGTCTGTCTCTGTTGTCTGCCTCACTCTATCTCTGCAGTGCCTGTATCCCCCTCTGTACTCTGGGAAAGCTACCCTTATACTAGAAGGGAGAATCCGCTCTAAATGGATACTATTTCAACGGCGACTACTTCCACGGGCAAAATAGTGATGCCGAGGATGGAGCGGTAGGTACTTTATCAGCTCAGTATGTCAGTTCCGGGGGTCAGCTTTCCGGCGACACTGATCCACGAGATAAGTTTAGGCTCATTAGGAGCACTGTTGAACTTGCACTAGAGATCCTTTTACTTTTGCTCTGATAAAGTTCACTGCTGTTACAGAGTTTTCGATGTAGAGCGTTTCCATCCACACTAGGTGATCCACCAAACAGTTCACGCTGTGCGGACTTTGATCAAGAAGGCAATGTACCAACCAACCAACAGCGAGATTGGCCAACCAAACGAAAAAGAAAAGGAAAGGCACGTGTGGGGAAAGGGAGAAGTAGTGATGAAGCCTCTGGAGAGGAAATTATGCTTTGCCGATTAGATTAGTGCCGCTTGGAAGAAGGCAGAAAGAGAGCGAGAGAAAGCGACTCCAATCTCGAATCAAGTAAAGCACACACACACAGTTCATTGTATTAATATACCACACACGATGTGCGTCTCTATGTACATCTATCACAGTTTATACTACGCGCCGCTGATCACGAGTCAGCGGTGGTCACAGCGGTGGCTTCCTTGACGAATCGGTAGTTCGACAGGACAGCCATTGGCTTTGCTTCGGGTGAACATAGTGAGGCAGTAGTAGTGCTGTGGTGCTCAAAGTTGACGATATTGTCCGCCAGCCGACGCAGGTACCGGCTAGAGTCGGTCAGCAGATGAACCAGGTGACTGTACAGCTTTGCCTCGATGCGAAACCAGTCCACCTCAAAGGACAGTCGGTACTTTTTTAGCTGAAGGGCCGCTTTCTTCCTTTTATCATCGTCATCGATGATTGAGGGCTTGTCGTCACCTTCTTCTGCTACTGCCTCTTGCTCATTGCACTGCTGGGCAAATATTTGGTGTTGCACCAGACACTGGGCAAGAAAGCTCACAGAGCGTGGTCCTCCTTCACTCCTCGCACAAAGAGTGACACACTTTTCTGTTTCTTCTTCATTTACATCATTGCCATTATTGTTTTCGCCATTTGATCGACAGTCAACACTGGAGGATGAGGAGGAGGAGCTGCAGCAGCAATCTAGACAGTAAATCTCATCGCTTTTGATAAGTTCCAAATAGATGCTGTTGTCTTTTTGATCGGCTGATTCGAGAAGGACAAGGGGCGATGCATCAGTTAGCAGGTAGATGATTTGCTCTATCTTATCAAGCACTACTGGCTTGTACAGCTCTTCGGGAATGGTGATAGACTCAGGTACTTCAGCGTGTGAATGATGCGCTGAGGATGATTCTCCTGATGAGTGATTGTGACCGCAAAAGACCCAATCGTTGAGTAAATCAGCACTTGGGCGGTCAAAAATGGCACAAAGCGACAAGTCGCGTTGAGATGGCTCGGGATAGTTTTCTGTAAGTACCATGGTATTAATTAATTGGTGTGATCATCATATAAAATTGTACTTTACCAATTGAAGCGGTGAGTGAAAAGTAAAAGTAAACACTAATTGAGTGAGGTTCAATTTGAACAGTTGGAAAAGTTTCTTGCAAAGACTTTTTAGCAAAACAAAACTCAAACTGTTTGTCAGCATCAAAATCAAATTCATAGTTATCACAAAGTTCTTCGGAATGATCAAAATCACCCAGACGGACATTTAAAATGGAAATCTTTGATTGATCAACATTGATGCTGAGCTTTAACCGGCCAATTACTTTGTGATTGGCCTCAAAATGACAAAGTGCATCACATTCACTGTCGTCTTTTGATTGAACATCAATTTTCTTCAGCTTTATCGACTTGTCAACAATTTCTTCATCACTAAACAATGCTTCTTTGGAGTTAAAAATAAGTCGAAATTCAAAATAAATGCGATTTGTCTGGACGTCAGGAAGAAATGCTTGAAGAAAGTAGTTTTGCGGCATCGTTTTGCAATGAAATCTGCAAATAATTTATTAGAAATTAGTTGTTTAGCAATCAAAACCAAGTTACAAACCAAAATTACCGAAAATCTTTTGAAAATGAACCAAAACAAAAACAACCGCATGCGGATCACGTGACCAATGACCGTCCACAAAGTACCCTCACCAGCTACAAAATAAAAAAAATTATACTTTTGCATTTATTTAGAGATTTGTTCGCTGTAACATCATTGATAAATGAAAAAGTCGCCATTGTTTGTCATTATCAGTCATAATTACAAGAAATTAAAGTTGAAGTAGGTAGATAGATAGATATAGTTGCAGAATTAGAGAGAATGTGGAGTTCAAGGTGGAGAAAGATGGAAAAGATGCCGATCCAGAAAAGAAAGAGAATGGGAGAAACAGCAAAGAAAGAGTCAGCAGTAGTAGCAAGTGTAACCAATAAAGTAGCGAAAGTACACAGTTAAATTATAAAAAGCAAAAAATAAAAATAAAAAACAGCGGCGGTAAAAAAATAACAGTGTCAAAATTAAATAACGTATCAACGTGTGGGTTCATCGGGTTAGGCGTGTGTGTCTAGGTTTGAGTGTATGTCAGCAGGTTTGTTTGATAATATGTTTGAGTCGGTCTAAAATGTGTCAGGTGTGTGAATGTGAGTGTAATATAACCTCCATATCTTAACATAATAATAATAATAGCACAAAACAGCTCTCTTCTTCTCTAGTAAGGCTTCTCGGGCGTACGCTTGAGCTGAACCTTGAGCCGCTTGGTGCCAATCTGAAAACCGTTCATGGCGGCAATGGCCGCCTGTGCCGCCGCCGGACTGTCGTAGGAAACGAAACCAAAGCACTTGGAGAGGTTGGTGAAACGGTCGACGAAAACCTTTGCAGAGAGGATCCCACCGAAGGGCGCAAAGGTGGCCAGCAGGTCGCCGTCGGTGAACTCCGGTGGCAGGTGGTAGATGAAGAGATTGGCACCCTCTGGGCCCTCGGACTGCTTCAACTGGTGTGGCTGCTGCTGAATGACACCGGCACCAACTCCTCCCACTCCAACGACTCCAGTGACTCCTGCCGCGGCGGCAGCAGCCAAAGCAGCAGCTGCTGCCGCTGAAGAAGTAGTATTCGAACAAGATGAGGACAAAGAGGAGGTGGAAGAGGAGGTAAAGCTGTTCGGAGCAGAAAGGTTGGTGCTGCTGCCATTACTGCTGCCGCTGCTACTGCCGCTGCTGCCCTTGCCACTGCCATGTCCCGAGGATGAGGAAGAGGAAGTGGTGGACGTTGAGGAGGAGGACAGTGGCTTGCCGCCATTCAGGACAGCTGGAGTCGCCGCAGCAGCAGCTGCAGAAGTTGCCGATCCGCAAGTGAGCGCATTGGCTGCGGCCATGGCGGCGGCGGCAATGGCCGATGCAGTTGGCTGGTGGCTGGCAAACTGCTGTGACAAGTGAGACAGCTGCATCAACGGCGATTGGTGGTAGTAGTGCTGCTGCTGCTGAAGAGCAGTCTGGTGGTGGGAGTGGTGGCCGTGATGACCAAGGTGGTGGTGCCCCATGTGGTGATGTCCTCGGTGGGCGTGGTGGTGACGAGCCACCAACTGCTGGTGCTGCTGCTGACCAAACTGCACAGCACCGGCGGACGTGTAGGCGTGAGCATACTCCGGATAGGCAAAGTGAGGCGGTGGGTAGATGGTGTAGGGGGCGTAGGCTGTTGCTGCTGCCTCGCCTGATTTGGCAGCGGTAGCAGTCACTGGAATGACGCCATACTCCGCAGCGGCAGCGGCTGCTGCCGTCGTGTAGGCGATATGGTGGGCAGGATCAGCAGAGGCAGCGGCAGCGGCGTGGTACAGTGGAACGGCGCCCGTGTTTGGGCTGGTTAGCACTCCGGCGGCACCTCCTCCTCCCATGACCACCTGCAAGTGCTGCTCAGGAGTTAGGTGCTGCTGAGGAGATGAGGCGGCAGCAGATGCAGCAGCAGCCGCCGCCGCAGCAGCCTGATTGGCAGCCGCGGCATTGGAAAAGTGACACAGCAGACTTTGCTGCAACATTGACAGTGGATGGGGGTGCTGCTGTTGCTGTGGCTGATGATGATGATTTACTGATGTTGCCGACGAGGATGAATGTTGGTTGCTTCCACCACCACCACCACTTGCTCCATTTCGATTGCTCTTCTTCTGTTGTTGTTGCTGTTGCTGCTGTTGAGCAGCAGCTGCCACGGCCGCCAGCGCCAGGAGTGGGTTTGTGGAGGCAAGTGTTGCAGCGGCTGCAGCAGCTGCCGCCGCAGCCGCAGCTGTGTTCGACGACCCCACTTTTCCCCCAGAATTTTTCGTTTTACTGCTTCCACTTCCGTTGGTGTTGCTTCCGTTACGAGCGGCAACAGCCGAGGCGGCAGCGTCTGAGCCAGAACTGGGTCTACTCGAGGCACCACTTGATGATGCAGTGCTGGAATGCTGCTTTGACGACCCTCCAGAAGGCGTTGATGAGCCGGAAGAGGCGGGCGACTGTGAACCGGAAGCTGCCGCTGCTGCGACTGCTGCAGCCGCTGCCGCTGCCAGCGATACAAACTGCGGCGTCGGCTGTGGAAGTTGAGGATGCTGCTGGTGCTGTGCCCCTAGTGCAAACTGCAGTGCCGCCTGCTGCTGCTGTTGCTGTTGTTGCAACTGAATTAACTGATGATGATGGTGGTGATGTGATGGACTGAGGTGCTGAATATCCTTATCAGCCAGTCCGGCATAGGCGGCCGCCACCATGGACTCTCGCGTCGGACAGAAGGCGGCGTTGAAGGCGGCGGCCATTTGGTGGTGTTGTGAATGGGAAGGGTGGTGATGGCCATTGTGTAAATGCGACTGCTGGTTTTGCTGACCAACGGTTGCACCATTTCCATTGCCATTGGTTGCTGCATTAGCGTTGTTATTTGAGGCCAATTTGACGACGATGGGCAGCGAGCAGCCTTCCAGCGTCACCGAGCCGTGCATCGATTTAATGGAGTTGATGGCGCTCTGCTTCGTGCTAAAGGTGACAAAGGCACAGCCTGCAAAAAAGAATGAACACTTTTTAGAACACTTTTATTCAAATTTCTAGTCTCAGGCATTTACCTCTACTGAAACCATTGGCGTCCCTTAGAACCATGCACTCCTCAATGTTGCCGTACTGGGAGAACATGCTGCGCACCTCTGTTTCGCCGTACTTCTTGCAGAGCATGCCAATGAAGATCTTCCTCTCCTGGCGATTCTCATTGTCTGCCGGTTTCATCTGAATTGGATTGTGCATTGACGGCAACGTGCGCACATTGTGCAGAGCGTCCTGCGCCGCCAATGCGGCCTTTCGCGTGAAGAAGGTCACAAAGCAGCAACCGCGAGACTGGCCGGTCTCTTTGTCACGCAGCACTCGCAACGAGTGAATGTCCCCAAAGGCGGAGAAAAGCAGCTCACGACACTCCGTCTCGCTCCAGTCTTTAGGTATCTGCCCAACGAACATCTTGATGGCGTCCGCATCGGGCATGCGAGGCTTTCCAGAAGTGTTCAGCGTTGAAGTGGTCGAAGGCGTTTTGGAGCAGCTCGAAGAGGCTGAGGAGTACGCTGACGACGTAGTGGTGGGTGTTGCTATCAACTCAGAGGAGGTACACCTCTCATCGTCAGTACAGGTTGAGGAGGAGGAAGAGGAGGAGGAAGTAGTGTGCTCAGAGTTGCTAGCAATGCCCGAGTCCATCATTGGGTCGTCCATGGTCACTGCATTACTAGAGCCGTTTGTAGCAGTTTCCTCATCAGTGATGACCGTCGACTCCGAGCGCATCATCATCTCCTCTTCAGTGGCCATCATTGAAGAAGATGATCTTTCCGTTCCGTTGAATTGCTGGTTTTCATTTGCCTCCTCACTGGTGGGCACTGGTCTGGTAGAGCTGGTGGCAGTCGTCGTCGTCGTCGTGGACGGGTCAACGACGTCGGTAATGGACATGGCGGCAGTGGCTTTCTCAATTGCCACCACCACTACTGCCGACTCTGCCGACCCTTCTTCTTTGCCGCCCTTCTTCTCTCCTAGTGGATCCCNTAGAGCCGTTTGTAGCAGTTTCCTCATCAGTGATGACCGTCGACTCCGAGAGCATCATCATCTCCTCTTCAGTGGCCATCATTGAAGAAGATGATCTTTCCGTTCCGTTGAATTGCTGGTCTTCATTTGCCTCCTCACTGGTGGGCACCGGTCTGGTGGAGCTGGTGGCAGTCGTCGTCGTCGTCGTCGTGGACGGGTCAACGACGTCGGTAATGGACATGGCGGCAGTGGCCTTCTCAATTGCCACCACCACTACTGCCGATTCTGCCGACCCTTCTTCTTTGCCGCCCTTCTTCTCTCTTAGTGGATCCTTTTTCTCTTTGCTTTTGTGTTTTTCCTCCTCTTTATCGCTTTTCTCGGTCGCGTGAGGTGGGACACTTGGCGGACTGGATTGCACTTCCTCTCCTGCTGCTGCTCTTTCTTGACTAGGCAGACAGTGCTGGACAGTGCAAATGCTGCTGTTGC